TTTTTGCATAATAATATGCAACAAACATACCCAGAATAAAATTTTCCAGAAATATATAATTATCCATGTGAATAAGCACTTTAAATGAATTTTTTTCTTTGAAAGCATAAGAAATAAAGAAAAATCATGTAAAACCTTGTGTGTGTGTGTGTGTGTGTGTGTGTGTGTACACATGGAATTAAATAATGTTGAAATAAGGTGATATTCAGGTATGTCATGTCAATACCAGTTGCTGCTACCCTGATCATTTGCTATAAATCACTTCAGTATGGATGAGCTGAGAATTTCCAAGTATTTTTAATAAACAAAAATGCTTCTTTCCAGAAAGATTTATTACAGAAAGAAACTCTGAATCTTTAGGATCATGGTCACTTTAATAGTTGTTATTGCTAATTAAAACATTGTTGACCAAATTCACATGATTTTTAACCATAAATTACCCATAAGTTATATAGTATTAATCAATTGAACTCTTTAGAATAAGTTTATGTGACCAGAGAATGATAAACAAAACAGTGAGACACTTGTGGCTGCTCCAAATAGATTCTAGCATTGATTTTTTTTAAATAAAAACATTCATGCATTTTCGTGTTCTTAAAACATGTACCAAGCATATTACGCAATATAACAAATCTGTTTGTATTTTGCTTGTATGAGAAGACAAATGCAAGAGTAAAACTATTTATTATGGAAACAAGAGCTCCTATTGGAGAAGAAAATTGTACTGATCAATTCAGTCTCACCATAACTCTAGGCACTAAACAAGGCATACAAAATAAATAGTAATAATCATTGTAAAATGAAAAATATTAAACATTTTTTTCTATCACTTTTAAAAACAATATTACTTTTTGTTTCTTCATTTGTGCTCAAATAATCCTTTAGTTTTTCAAATTGTAGCTTACTTAAGATGAAATTTTTTCTAATACATATAAAAATGTATAACTTATAAGTTGAAATGGGTTTTTAACAAGTAGAAGGTAATTTTTTTTTCTCACAGATACTTATCAGGTTCTTATCAGGCTTCCTGTACACACGTATTGTAACCATCGGTGTTGTATGGGTGATCGTTTATACACACATCATCCTGTCCTGCAACTTGCATTCATTTAAAAGGAGTCTTACACTAATGAGGGCTGAAGATATATTTTACACATTTTGATTTAACACTCACTTGCACATATAAAACTGGTTCTTAAACTATGTTTCATGCCCAGAAATAAAGATAACCATGACATTTTTAAGAACCTCTCATTTTTGCATTACTATTATCTTATTTTTAGTATTTATTTTTGTATTACTTTTCAAAACTCTCTTCTCTCACTGTTTCTGTTATGCAATCTAATCTAGTAAAAAATGCATTGGTATTTGAACGTACCAAGCACATTTCAGGCACAGGGTCATTGAAATTACTGTTTTACTTTCTTAGAGCCTGCCTACAAATACTACACAGCTGCCTCTTTATTGTATTAGAAAGAATATTAGAATAAGTTTCATCATTTTTAATTCATGTTTCTCCTTATGTGGAAGTATTTTCCAAGTAGATTCTATATTACAAATGGGTTTGGACAGAGAATGAAAGCCCATACTGAAAGTGCCTCTATATAAATATTTTGGCAAAAAATCTTGTACAATGTCATGTTTATACTTCCTACAAAGGGCATAGGTCTCTGTGCAGGAGGCATACTGTGTGGGAGCAGAGTATCCAGTTTCCTAGATAGCACAATGCCACCATGGTTACAGGATGGCTGAGAACTCACCTCTATGTCCAAAGGACATGAATGTGATCATAAAATCACCACAATAAACAGTGTAAGGTGAATTTGTTTAGTTCACCATTTAATCTGAAGATGTTTTGTACTTGATTCAGGTGGTTTTGTGGGGGCCTGTAGTACTGATTTGCAAAGAAAAAAAAATGATGTATAGTAGTTAAGGACTCTTTAAGACCACTTATATCCATTCTAATTTATATTTGTGTTTGTTTATCCCTTCTTTTTCACTCTGCCTCTCAATATAACTTCATAATATGTATATGATATAAAATGGGATACTTCCTTTGATTCCATTTCATTACTAACATCTAGAATTCCTGAACATAATGGATATTCAGTATTTGTGGATTTACTTAATGAAAATTTCTGTTAATACAGTTCCCATTTCCTATTCTATATGGATATTTACAATGGCAATTACAATTTTTCAAGGCAAATTTTACTTGAAAAATAAAGTGCTCAGTGAAGAAAGAATTTTGATTCTCAGCACATACTCCCAAATTAGAAATGTATGCAGATCAATTTTTCTTACAGTTGTCAGTTTTTCAAAAACTTTATAGGTCCAACAGGCCAGTGACATGATCCCCATTCCTTTTGATATTTTAAACTAATAATTATTTAACTGGAAGCTCTCTATTAAGGTGCATGTTGGTACCATAAGTGTGTGTGTTAGTACCATAAACAAGTCATATACATTTTATTAAATAATTGATGTTTCTATAATGTGGATTAATGTTATTAACACTGTGATTTTCACCTAAACACTAATACAGTTATTTATTTAGGAGTAATTAATCATGGCTATACCTAAATATCTTGTCATTTAGCACAAGCATAATGTAATATTACATTGATTATCTTTGGAACTTTATGGTTAAAACAAAAAAGAGAAAATCTTTCTTGAACTAGGTAGTTGCAAAACAAGCAACGATGCAGAGTTGGCAGATGACTATCAAAAAATCAAATGACAAAAGAATTCAGAACTCTGATGAGGGGAATACTGATATATGCATCCTCACAGTGATTAAGCCTGTGGCAGCCATTCTTAAATATACTACTAACTTGTGATCCAAGTTCTAAGTATATATTTGAATTTTTAATTATTATAAAAACATATTAATAGAAATTGACATAGTGATTTTAATTTCCTTGGGGAATTAATTAGACTTATTTTGTAAACTGGACACTTATAAATTAGCTCCTTATGGGTTCAGTTTTTATAATATTTACAGAAAGTGGAATGTCTTAGAAAGTATTCGTTGTTGAGGTATGAGAGCTCACCCATGCTAGATTTATGATTTCTCCATACTGTTTGCTGTTTTTATTTTATCTGAAATTGTATCAAGTATATGGCAGGATGCTGCCAATTTAGTGAAGTCTTTTTTTTTTTCCAGTTCCCCAATCTTGCTACAGAAGAGAGAATTAAAGGAACACGAAATCCTAGAGCTTTTCTTTGAATTATCTTGGAACAAAACATGTAAATGTATAATAGGCAATAAGAGACATAATATTTTATCTAATAAAGTCCTCAATTTAGTTTTCCCTTCTGCCTTCATAGTTTTGACACATGCATAAATGTTTCCTGTGTTTATTTTAAGAAAATGGTAACTTTCCTATGAAAATTTAATAATTAAGAACAATTCCTTAGCAGATGAGAAATGTCAAAATCATTAATAAAATTATCTGGTGTTTTAGACTGGACAAGTACCTGTCGTTTTCTTTTAGCATCTAATTTCTTAGACTCACTTTTATTCTTTTTAGTTTTATTCAGAGATATACCCAGAGCTTTCTTAGAATATGACATTGGACTTTTAAATTTATATATAGCAGAGACAAATATTTCCTTTAACCTTCAACTTGTCAGTTAAGAAGTATGGAAGTAGTTCACAAGAAAATGCTTTGAATTGAAAAACACTAATTTCATATTATTTTGAAAGTCTTTTAGTTGAGCTATATTCTCTATTCAGTCATTGTAGTTATAAATTTTGTAGTCATTTTATTTTTCAGGCAAGTAAAAAATGCATATGCTCACAAAGAAACACTTGATATTTTAAAAGATCTTTATTGCAAGTGATCTAATATTGTGCTTAATGCCATTTGACAATTTTTACCTGTTTACAGTTCATGAAGACCAAGTTCCTATATAGCTGTCATTTTGCATATGTGATTTTCTCTATCATGATATACTTCGTTTTCTTTTGATATTCTGTATTAAACTCATGGAAATAAGATTTCATTTTCTAAATATAGTGAACAGACCCTCACGATGAAAATATCCCAGTACTTAATAAGAACACAATATCAAACACCTAGATTTTCAAAGAAGTTAGTATAGTTTCATTCTACATTAGTATGTGTTTTTTAATACATCAAAGCAAGTTCTTTATTCTACAGCACTTCTAAAACTTAATTTCAGTTGAAAATTTAATTATGACTTACCAAATTAATAATATAAATTTTTTAATGGCAATACAAAACATGGACAATGCACTAGGCTTACTTAAACTTGACAGTGCTAAAGATAGCATAAATATTTCTTCCGTTCAGACCTTACTGATGAGAGCAAGTTAGGTTAAAATCATATAAGAAATCTACCCCAAAATATGCATTTCATTTTCTTATTTTAAGATCCTGCTGATGTAAGCAGATTTTTATTACTTGTCCCATGAACATTTCTGTGTTACAAACTGGCTATGAAAGCAATGCCACTTAAAATGACTGACTTTCAAATGCCAAGGAATTCTATATATTCTTACTTTAAAAAGAAACACAATTTTTAAACTATTACTGTGTCCTAAGCAGTAAACAAGTATATGCTCTGCAGTTAGAAATTGGATTTATTTTTTTCAAAGTTGCTCCGTTCACAAAATCAGAAAGAGTTCTTATTTAATGCACTTGTCAAAACAATTCTCACTGTGCGAACATCTAAACTGTTAAAAACATCTACAGAGCTTAGTAACGTAAAGAAATCTCTCTTAAAAGCAAAGGAGAATTCTGAATATAACAGAAGTAAAGCTACCATAGGAATAATAACTTCTCATTAATTATCAAAACATATGCTTGATTACAGTGTTGTTTCATAGACTAGAGGCGGGGGTTTCTTGAAGACCCTGATTGGCTGCTCACAAACTCAGAGATAGTATAACATTTCTATTTAGAAAGATATGGGAGTTTTGTAGAATATTAATCTAGGCTAAAGCTTTCACTTACATAACCAAAAACTCTTACCGTGATTTAGAATCTTCTATTTTGTCATCACCCATCATCTCCAAATCTTGTGAGAATTTGAGCAAATTCTCCTCTGGAGCCGCTTTAGGAGTGCCTTCATTTGCTTTAAGATGTACTATCACGTTTTGTTGGTGCCAATTCTGAAGGACTCTTTGATGGGCAGGGTCTGGTCCTGGCACCGGCGTCAGTATATTGTGGTGGACAGGACTATTGCCTTTCTTCAGTCCATTTCTGTCCCGTGAGTGGTTCTTCAACCTGCCCTGCACCGGGGTCCCTCTATGCTCATATCCTTCCTGCTGAAGGCAGCTTCCAGTGTTAGGCGATCCTTGAGAAGGATGACTAAACCATCTCCAGCGAAGCCTCAGGATCTGTTTCACATCAAACTCTTTCTTGCCGGACACTGACATTGTTGCCGGAGGAAAGACAAAAGCCTTCTCTAACAGAAAGGAAATGGAGCCTTTGTTATCTCTTGTTTCTCTGCCTCTTGTGTAGAACTAATAAAAGCACAAGTGCTGAGAGAGAGAGAGAGAGAGAGAGAGAGAGAGAGAGAGAGAGAGAGAGAGAGAGAGAGCAGTCTTTCTTGCTTTCTCTCCCCTCCCCCTCTGCCTGTGATACACTGTGAATACTTCCAGCCTAGCTGAAGCAGAAAGCTGCCGCTAACAGTGTAGGTGGGAACCCATACTGACAGGATGATGAGGTCAGACCTTAAACAAGTAAATCAGCTTAGCACAGGAAAGCAGCTACCACAAACACACTCCAGCTGCTAGATTTGCAAACTCACAGCCCTCACGCCTGAACTCGTAAATATCTAACCCAGCTTCTTTGATGCCAAAGTGCATAGCTACTACATAAACACAGACATGTGAGTAAGAGCAACATGTTTAAAGTCACTTCTACATTCCCCGTGCCCTCCCCACTGGCATACTCATTCTCAGTAACCCACTTCCAAAACTGTGCTAATTTGTCCCAGGGGAATTTGTCATGGAGAATTCGTTATGATCTATTTTGAGATTCTTCTTATGTAAAATTTGAATATAGCTCACTAAGGAAAAGCATCGTATCCTCAGTACCCTTATGCAGATCTGCAGTTATTACACATGCAAAGCTCTTCTGAAAATGTGAACGACTCTGGATAAACATTCTGTTGGAAAATCGAAAATATAAAAATAGTAAAATCATGTTGATTAGCCATGACTACACCCCCACATCTCTACAACACACACACACACACACACACACACACACACACACACACACACACACTCATCCCATTAAGTGCTGTAGGAAGAGTAACTAACTTAAGCAAACATATGGAGAGACAGTGCTTTTCTGATTTAACTTGAAAGGGATGTTTTCTGTCATTGACCATAGCTTGAAAATGAACGCATCTTCTGGCCTCTTGCCTATATAAACACCTCTTTATCATACCCTGTACTTTCACAGGCAGTGATAAGGCTTATTTTCTTTGTTCAGAACTCTTTTAAAAAGGATGCAGCAGGGCGTGTTTTAAATTAAGTCAAAATCACCACACCGTTGAGTCATATCCAAAATTCTTTGACATCTAGTTCAGAATGACTTTTTTATGCCAAGGCAAATATTTCTAACTCAAACTAACATTTATCATTAGTAGAATACCAACATCATTGTGCACTTTATTTTGAAGTATATCCAGATCTTGTGGTTTACACTCACATTAGTAAACAGGGAACTTATCTTAGCACTTCCTTAAAATCAATATTGAATTGCTAAGATTTTCAGTTTCAGATTTGTTGTTAATAAGTTGTGTGTCCCCAGAAAAATTATTATAATATGGGGAAGTTAAATTGATTTATAAGTAGCTACCAACACCAGTGCAAAAAGGTTTTAAAAAAAGAAATTAGAGAAGTAAATTAACTCTTCTAAGTTTGGGGGTTATCTCTAGTTGTTTATAATTCTAATTGCAACTTTCCCTTTTCCATCTTGCTTTTGTCAGCATGAGTGTTCCTTTATGGCAAATTGACTAGGCAAAAATAAATCCCCAGATATTTGATTAGACACTCATTTGGCTGTTTCTCTGAGCGTGTCAGTGTAAGTTTCATATTTACATCAACAGAGTGAGTAAAATATTTTGGTGTAATTCTGTCTGAGATATCTAACCAGTTGAAAGCAGGAATCTTTGTTCAGATTTGAACTAACGTTGCCTTTTTCTGGGACTCATGCTTGAAATCATTCAAACCCATACTATACCATCAGAACATGTGTTTCTTCAGCTTCCTTGCTGGAGGTCTGAGAACTCCAGCCTCTTCTTGCCTACCATGCACCCCATTAGCTATATTCTTTAGAAAGCCCTGGCTAATTCAAGCTTGTCTGATATTCAAAAGTCACTAAAAGACATACTGATCATATATAGAGCTCATTTTAGGAGTTATAGGCCATTTCTTCTCAACTCTAAATTTATACTCTACTTCCCCATAGATTGTTTAGTCCAAGTGTTAGCATCTATAGTCACCTGTCTTTGACAGATTGTGAAGAGTACTCATCATGCAAACTCTAAGTAACTGAATAAAACGTCAAATAGTTCTTTTTATATGGCTAATGTGCACAAACAATTAAATCTGGAATCCTATCTTATTATCTAAGTATGTAAGATTCCACTAAATACCTAGGATTTATGGTATATGTTTTTACCCACTATACATAAAATACAATGCTGCACAAAGAGAAAGTAAATTGTATGTGTCGGATAGAATGTTTGAAGAGTTTTAATAGATGTGTACATGATGTGTGACAGGAATAAAAAGTACTGAATTTTAATAAATTTAGCTCTAAACAATGCCAAGGTTTGAATGTAGCTTCCCCCACTAGAGTTAATGTGCTGGAAGCATCTTCTTCTAGGAAGCCATGGGAGGTGATGGGTGGGATCTTGAAGGGATGGAAATGATGGGAGTAAAGAGATTAGACAATCCATCATTAGAAAGAATTAACATAGTTGTCATAGGAACAAACAGTTTATCAAATAGAAAAACACAAAATACAAAGATTGATTCTTGAGTTATTCTCTGACTTCCTGTGTCATTATGTGTTTTTTTTCTTCCCTCTTGCAAGTGCTCCTACCACTATGATGAAATTATGGAGAAGATTATTTTTACCTAGAAGCAAGTTGCAAGTTGTTATAGCTTTGACATGCTAAATAAGAATTCATATTAACTTATTTAAATTCAGTTACAAGATAATATCACTTAGAATCTAGGAACATATTATTGAAGTATTAGACTTCTAAAATATTCTATAGCAGAAAGAATATACAGTCATGCAAAATCGGCTACTGTTGTCATTTAATTTTAAAAACTAAATATATGTATTATATATAGCTATTAATAATAAAAGTTGACTATCTTCTTTTTAATTTGCAGTCTATTCCTTCTTTTATATAAAAATATGGAAAAGTGGACATTAAAATAAAATACCTTTAAGTGTGTGTGGAGAAACCTATGTGTGTTTTACAGTGGAATCTTTTTTCTTCTGAAACTATTTTCCACTTTTGAGTACCTTGCTTTCAAATAGAAAAATAATTGGGTTTGAAATGCATACAATAATTTGGATTAATATACCTACAGTTTTATATAATTTAATGTCTAAATTTTGTAAATATCTGTAGTTAAATTTCATTCCTAAATTCTTGAAAATAAGAAAACTTGGAAGTGAATTTAGAAATTTCAGGGTCATAAAAAAATCCAATCCAAGGTTTCTGGGTGGTACAGATTCAGTATAATATTTAATAAATATGTATTTTTCAATACAAATGGCATGCATGTACTTGTTAAAATACTGAAAGCTATACATACATTGACATAGGATGAAACAAATTGTGCCCTATGAATAAAAATTTAAAAAGTTTAAATCAGAAAATTCTGTATAAAATAATATTCATTTTCCACCACTACAAAAATACAGATAAGCACACAAACCTGGCAGGGACATGTAGCATATCAGTAAGTGTATATACACATATAAATTTATAATTATTTTAAGCAAATATAAATTTAAGGACGTAAAGCAGTATAGACTGCATTAAACATACTCTGCCCATTTTATATGTCTACCAGTTTCATTTATCACAGTTATTTAGTTACCAATGTACCTTCCTTCTAACGAAAATATTTAATCAAAATTGATTCAAGAATGTGAAAAGATTATTTTGCTCTTCACAGCAGAGGCTGATGAAGAAATTAAAAAAAGTAAAATATTCTTAATTATAAAGAAAGTATAGTTACTGTGAATCGGTTAATTCAATTTGAAATTGATTGATTTTAATATCTTAGGAAACTATTGGCATGATTAACTTCAACTATACTTTGAATTTTTATACCTGGAGTTCAATATTGGTCAAGTATGGAAATAAGGATCTAAGATTCTTTTTTTATATTTATGCCAAAGTAAGATTTGAGAATTTTGAGCATAAAATTGCCATCAGATACATGTAAAAAGGTTAACATTTTCAGTAATAAGAAATTTACATTAAATATACAATGAAATATCACTTTTGATCTATTTGGTACTTTTAAACTGTACCTAAGGCTTGGAAAACATTACAGAGAACCAGGTACAAAGATTTTGAGTGACAGATGCTCAGGAAGTCAGCTATGAGACTGTGTCTTTTAAAAATGGCTGCCTAATAAATATCAATAGACATACTGATAAAGATGGAGTCCCAACCCCTGGACAAAGAAGTACAGGCAAATAATGACTGCTATGTTTGAGAGAGGAGAATTAACTTCTCCCAGGAATAAGCCCTCTAAATAGTTACTCATTACAAGATGGTATTAATCAGGGAAAATGAGGTTAACAATTTAAGAGGGAGATGGGAGAGACTGGAGAGGGAAGGTATGTTGGGGGAAGAAGTAGTTGGGAGGAAATGATAGGTTATATTTTAACCTAAACTATATTAAATAAATAAAACAAGTGTCGAGAAGATGTTCAAGTAAAGGAAACTTTATACATTTGATAGGATGGTAAACCAGCATAGTTATTGTAGATGATAGTATGAAAGCTTCAAAAAAAATAAAAGTAAAACTGTTATATAAATCAATACTTTTAGGACTGGGAATATAAACAAAAAATTGATGTCTATGCATTGAACAGGCATCAATACTACTACACTGATTGAAACTTTATTCAAAGTCGTGATGATAGAGAAAGAACATAAGTGTTCATCTGTGGGTAAATGCACTAAAATTCTCATGTAACTACACAAATCAATAGCCTTTAGACTTTGAAAACACAAATTATGTCACTTGTGACAGACAACAACACTGAATCTAGAGAGCATTAATTTTTAGAAGAAAAAGCAAGAGTCAGAGAAACATAGTACTAGCTAGTCTATATATCGAATCAAAAGGGAATGGACTCACACAATTACAAAATAAAAGGATGATTATCAGGGCTGGGAAAGGGTTTCAACTGAAAGGGGGGAAAACTAGTTAAGGAGTACAAAATTTCAGTCAGATGTCAAAAGTGAATTTCATTGTTCCA